AAAAGAGACTAATGGGCAAGTCGTTTGTTAATTCAACCAAGATGGCGTCTATGAAAACCAGCAATAGGATAGATGAGAAAAACCGACTACAAAAAGAAATGAATGACAAGAGAAAAATGAATTGGATGACGAAAAAGGAAGCAAATAAAAAAAAATAGAATTGTGAACATTATAAAAAAGCTTTGTGATAAATTAGAGGAAGATGATGAACAACAAACTTACCGATCTCTTCGTCTTCTCTTCCAGCTCTAGGCGGTATTTCTCGCTATTTTCATTGAACATATTCAAGCGTACCAAAAACTACAACACAGAGAAAAACTGGTCTGACCTTGGACACGTATTTTCATTATTTTGACATTAACCAGGCAGTTTTCAATATCATATCTAATCGATCCCAGTACATATAAATCCCAATATAAATCTGGGGTCTAACTAGAAACTTCCCAGTTAACTTAGCCCTCCGACTCTAATATAATGCTTATAATATATACGACTTATAATAAATTCAATAGACAATTCAAGTCAATTCCTGCTTTCCCATTTCTGACCACGTGTTATTCCCATGAGTATTAATTCTTTGCTCGCTCGCAAAGCATGAGCAGACATAATGTGATGCAGTTCAAATACAGAATACTATTCTCAAATGATTGACACTTTTGTCAAYACTTGAATAACCATTAGTAGGAATGGACCAAATTCCATTTCAGATTACGCGTCATTATCTTAAGAATATGATTATTTGCTTGAAATGTATCCATATTCATGTGTCTTCTCATGTGCTACCATTAAACAAATAAATAATACTATAGGGAATGAAATGTAGTGGAAAACAGTGGGAGAACAGTGGATTAGCTAGATCAGGTCTATCACAACAGTAGCTAAAAATCAGTGATGGGCTTCCTGTGTCGGTTTTATGTGATCATTCCAATGATGATAGACTTACGTCTTGTGGTAGATCTTTGCCCCACAGAGGTAGGTTGGGGATTTTTCCTCGTGATTTCACTCGCGAAGACGACGCCCTGTAGCAAGAAAAAAAAAAGGTTCAAATTAACACCTACTTATCTAGGGCAACTAGCCTCGTTTTCGTGTTGGTCACCGTTATCTCGCAGTCGGTATTTCTGACACGAATAGGTGTTATCATACAAGAAAGGCAAACAAACAAAGATAAATATTACCTAGCATCTGAAGGAGGTCTAGGTATACGCGGCTGGTCTGTTGCTGTTTGAGATCGTAACGGTGACGGTGTTCGCCAGTGCAACGGAGATGTGGCGGCTGTAATCGAACATAAAGGAACAAGAATGCTTTAAACATTAATATTCTGCCCTAGTGCAATCAGCTGATCTAAAATATTGACGTAAAAATGACGCTACTGCAAAACAGAGGACCACTGTGAAAAATAGAAACATGGCCGCCATTGCAATAAAAATATACAAGTCATTATTCACTATAATTATCAAGTGCTAAGTAGCAACATTATTATTATTAGTAGGGTTTCTTTCATTTGGTGGACTGAAAATTTATAATCTCAATAGGAAAAAATGATACCTCGGATTTTGCAAATTTTCAAGATTCTAATTGGCTAACTTTTTTTTCAGATCAGCTGGAAGTTAAGAGGAAAACTAGTAACACACTTGTTACAGTGCCGTGCCGTGCCGTTTACTGTGACTCTTCATAGTTACAAAACAATCTATACTCTAAGGCAAACGGTTTGTCTAGGATTTCCCATTTCCCATATCACCACCTTCTTCTCTGCTCCTTCAAACGCAAAAACTGTTACAGGAATTGGGAGGGGTAAAGGGGAAGGGGGTGGGGGGAAGGGGGAAAATCACGGGTACAACAGGATCGCCTAAATACGTGACGATGAACCCTATGGAGAGTCAATTCCGAAAAGATGGTCTGTTAGAAGATGAACAGAAATAAGCCTTATTTCATCAAATATCAATTTACCGTGTACAAATTCTCTCATTTCTTCCTCGTTTCCACTATACGCGTCGATTCCCTGTGCAAGCTCGTTAAGTCGTCTCCTGCAGATAAGATACAAAAATGCCATTTATATTGGCTTGCTCTCGTGTATTGTACGTAAAGTATGTGGCACGAAAGAAATAGGAGAAAATTGCATTGACAGACCCAACCCCGGCCCCTTTCCAGATGTCCAATAAAAACGTGAACTCACAGTCACAATGTTATTCAATAGAAAGATCTCTGATTGACTAATGTCTAAAAAAAGTTCGCACTGTGAAAAAGTCATTTTAAAAACAGTTGAACTTACTCGTATTCTTCGTGTAATGCTTGTACTTCTTCTACATGGGCATCTCGTAGTGATTGTACTTCCGTTTCGGTATAACGCATTGGTGAGACCTGCAATACAATCAGCCATTATTTTTTGTAGCATACATGTACACTGAGCTGCTACGCTACTAGCCTCTTTCCAGCTGAGAATACAAGGTTGAGAATGATATTGCAGATTATCTAGACTTCGGATTTGGCAAATAACACAGTCTCTGTCTTGATAATTTACGATATCAATTTACTTCACACGGCAAAAATATTATTCTTTGTGCATTGAGACAACACATTTGTTATGTTAGACTGGTTTTTAATAGCAACGCAAGCGGACGCAAGCATAAGCAAACAAAATCTTCCGTTCTCTTGTGCTTTCGTTTACACTTGCGTCGATCCTTTTTGTAGTGAGAATAAGGAGACATGGACACAATGGAGCGGAATGGTTTGGAATTTGGAAACTCCATAGAACAAAGCTTTTGTTTTGCCTTTGATGTTGAATCGTACCATCACGTGTTACTGACGGTGCACAATGGACCAAAGCAAGTATGGCTGAAAATGCTCATTTTCTTATTATTTTCATGTATGAACAATTTGAAAGTAAAAACTTTCATTCCATGATCAAAAATAAAGCGAATAAATATTTCCGCGCAGATACAGTTAAGTTACTATATGATAAATAAGAAAGCATTAACAAATAATACACATTTTAGAACGATTTTTAAGGGTAAAATTTTTTTATATTTCCTAATACTGTGAACAAATGGAGAAACGTCTCCTTCACTGTGCACTGTCAACGTCATATAACAATGGATAAAGACGAACAAAAACATAGAACAATAGGTTTCATAACCATTCCGCTCCATTAACTATGATGGAGAGAAAGGAAGGTTTGAGAACATGAGAACATGGTGAGAACAAACACTAGCTTGGAATTGCGTCGACTTGAGTCGGTTTGCGCTGCCATTCAGAACCAGGCTTTTTAAAGCCTGGTTGTGAATAAATAACCTCCGGGATAGAAAAAAAGTTCTTACGCTTTCGCTGATTGGCTGAAGGTTCGTTTTAAGAGTTGGTCAGTCCCCTTACTTTGAGCATCCCAGAGGGTGTTTCAGAGTACGATAAACGTGATGTATCCCAATAAAATGACTTTATGATCAGAAGCCCTTACGCACTTTAATAAGGATGCTTAAAAACCAACCACGCCCTATTTGTATTGTTTGATGTCGGATTTGAATGTCGATGGAAAACCTGTCCCGGGTTTTGAATTCAGCATTGGTACTAACAGGCGAGAGCGGGGCTGAATTGAAGACCCGGGACAGGTTTTCCATCGAAATTCAAACTCTCCATCAAACATTAGCAATAGGGCTTGGTTGTTTTTAAACCAGTTAAAACGCACTGTGCTCGGATTTGCATTGAAATTCAAGACCGAGCTCCTGCGGCCCTCGGTCTTGAAGTTACATGCAAACCCTTGCCCTAGCGTTTTAACCTTTATACACAATGTATGTTAAGGTCAGCAGTGTATTGTGACTGGGATTTGATAACTTACTCCTCTCATTTCTTCTTCCCGCTCTACTTCTTCGGCTCTAATAAAACAAAATTATTTTAGTAAATAAAACCAATGCCGAACTCATGGCTTTAAACACCAACCACTTACATGAGGAAGGGTTGGGAGCTAAAGCGTTTGTTTATGATGAAGATAGAATTAATAGAAAGGAATATATTATCCATGTCGTGGAAATAGTACTAAATGATACTTATTTATTTATCTCACGTTCTGAGGGTCATTTGTAGAAGGAACGCAAATAGAATTAGATAGATTTAGATTTACCAAGTGAAAAAGATTACACTTACTTTCGTCTTTCTTCTATCTCGTTTCTAACAAGCCTAAAATATGGTAAAAAGTAAATATTTCGAAGAGTCAGTGGTGTTAATAGGTAGAAAAATACACACCAAGGAACATGGAATAGTGGTGGGGAAAAAGAGAGAAGAGAAAAAAAAAATACAATGGGAAGCACGGTAGCTTGTGTGCGCTGCTAACGCGTTGCCTCTCACCAACGTCACCCGGGTTGGAGCCCCGCCTGGCTCGGTGTCGTACGTGAGTAGATTTGCTTGTTGGTTCTCTCTTGTGCTTCGAGGGTTTTCTTCAGGTTCTCCGGTATTCCTCCATGGACTAAAATCAACTTCTAAATTCTAATTCGATCTTTGACCGGGCTGTTGCCTAGCTTGCAGTTAATAATAGCTCTGTTGTGAATGTCCCACGCCAGGATACAGCAGTCAAAACTTAATATATATTTTTAGAATACAACACTCTCAAAACTATTCTAAAAAAAAAGCTAATAGGAAAGTACGAAAGAAAACATATTTTTTTCACAATGGAATTTGTGCCATTTCTTTGGTATTTTCCTCTAATGGGGACACGAGTGAAAAACGTCTGCGCATGCTCTGAATCTGTATGAAAAAACATATATAAATTTGGCTTTCAAACATGCCTGATAAATTGGACTTCACAAAATGCCAAAACTTAGTGTCCATGCTTGAAACGTAAGGCTTATTCTTTCATATTTATCTTGGTCTGACAAAAGTATACTCTCGAACTTTTTAGTACACTTGGAGGAAACAAACATTTAGTATTTTCTCACTCAAACTCTTCAAAATTCTTAGAAAACGTGCTAAATTGCACGCATGCGCAAACGTTTTTCTCTAGTGTCTCTAATGGTTCTTTTGCGTCTTGTGATGAACACCAATGAGTACGTTGGCCTGAAGCTGCAACCGTCGAATAATTCACAAGAAGAGGTATACGTAGACTTATCGCTAGGTGGAAAACTAGAGATGTTTTTGTATGACTGTAAAAAGGTCACGGTAAGAACACGGTCGTGACACAAGGCATACGTCAATTACATTGCTCAAGAATTTACTCTCCATCCAATCAAATACCCGGAATACGGCATAAACACGGTCACCTCGAGGACAAAAAAATTGGACAAAAAAATCCATTTAAAATTCTAGCAAACAACACGGTAAAGGCTTGCGACACTGAGCTTTTCACAGTCATACGAAAACTGCTCTATTTCGGACATACTTTTTTAAAATTTTTATGTCGGTCGGTCGCGTTTTTATGTTGGTCATACTTACTCCTCAAATGATGGAGTTTCAGTTTCTTTGGTCATCGTCTTTGGTCTAGGAAAAAATGTTTTACTAGCCTTAGTGGAGTACAAATAATTCCTTTTAGCTTGGGTTAAATGCTTTCCAATTTCAGACCACGTGCCATTCTCTTGAGAATAAGGCTTTGTTTGAGTATTATACATATAATGATGTGTCTTCATGAAAGAGAGGAATAATACTCAAGGGAATGAAACATCATCGGAAATGGAAAAAACATTACGCCAAGCTAAAAGTGTCTACTGTAATATAAGAAAAGCATTCAGATGCCGTGATGAATTGAATAAGTGAAAAAGCCGACTTACCTCTCAACTTTAGACTGAAAACAAATAAACAAAGATAATAAGTACTCCACGAAATAAGAAATGAAAAAAATATTGAACATTTTAATTTTGAAATATATAATTTTCGAAAAGCTCAGCAGTAAACAAAAGTCCAAGGAATTTCAGGTAAAGTACCCCTACCCCCATTCTCTCAAGATATACAGTTTGCGTCAAAATCGTAAGCAAGTAAACGTGTTGCGGATGCGCGGAGGGTTGACCGTTGTATGATGCTTGTATCAATGGAATGATAGGAGTTGCAGGGTTGTCGGAGACGGTGGGGCTAGGGGGCCAT